AAGGCTTTAGCACCATAGACCACATAAATACCCTTCCGCAAATTGTACAGAAATCCGAGGAGTACAATTTGCCACTATGTCTGGCATATATGGACTATGAGAAAGCCTTTGATTCCGTCGAAATTTGGGCGGTGCTGCAGTCCCAAGTTGACTGTCGGTATATCGAAGTGTTGAAGTGCTTGTACAGTAGGGCTACGGTGGCTATCCGAGTACAGAACCAGACTACGAAACCTATCCAATTGCAGAGCGGTGTAAGACAGGGTGACCTCATATCCTCTAAACTCTTCACCGCTGCATTGGAAGACGTTTTCAAGCTTCTGGGCTGGAAAGGATACGGTATCAACATCAATGGCGAGTACATCACTCACCTTCGATTTGCCGATGATATAGTCCTTATTTCAGAATCGCTAGAGGACCTAAGCACTATGCTCAATGACCTCAATAGTGTTTCCCAACGGATAGGTCGTAAGATGAACATGGACAAAACAAAGGTCATGTTTAATGTCCATGTCACACCTATGCCGGTAGTTGTTGGGAGCACTAAAATCGAAGTTGTTGACGAGTATGTTCACCTGGGACAAATAGTCCGACTAGATAAGTCCAACTTCGACCGAGAGGTCAATCGACGGATTCAACTCGGTTGGGCAGCGTTCGGGAAATTACGGCACATCTTCTCGTCAGGTATACCTCAAAACTTGAAAACGAGACTGTACAACCAGTTGCCAATGATGACATATGGAACTGAGACGTGGTCCTTCACTACTGGCCGGATGAGGAAGCTCAAGGTCGCTCAGCGAGCTATGGAGAGGTCTATGCTCGGAGTTTCTCTGCGTAATAAACTTAGAAATGAGGATATCCGCAGTAGAACCAGAGTGACCGACATAGCCCAACGGATTAGTAAGCTGAAGTGGCAATGGGCCGGCCATATAGCTCGAAGAACCGACAACCGATGGGAAAAAAGGTTCTTGAGTGGCAGCCTCGTACCGGCAGGCGAAGTGTAGGGCGTCCCCCCACTAGATGGAGTGACGACCTGGTAATATATGCAGGAACTCGATGGATGCAGGTGGCTCAGGACCGTGCTTTGTGACATTCCTTGAGGGAGACCTATGTTCAGCAGTGGACTTGTGAAGGGCTGTAATGATGATGATGATGATGACTCCCCATGGTAGATGCGATGCAAAGAGATGCAACATCTCTTCGCAGCGCCAGTGAGTCAAGCTGATCAGAAAAAACTCGGTCGCCGACGTTTCGAACCGCTTTGAGCTGGATGAAGTGGAAGGAGCTGGCACTGTGGTGTCCCGGCCCAGAGATGAGAACAGTATTCCAAGTGAGGCCGAACTTACGCCTCGTAAAGTTGGAAGTTGGAACATTGGCCTCTCCCATAGAATTTCCTTATAGGGGGGATATTTACCATACTTGCCATAATTAATAGGCAGGTTGGCAGTTCTGCAATGCAGTACATAACTGCAGTTCTTTTATTTTAACTATTATTTGTAAGATATTGCTGCTCATCTCCGGGTTCGTTTTCTTCTATCAATCGGATCTTCTATCAAAAGTTCACAATTCATCTATATTGATTTATTTAATTATGCTTTATTACTATCACAGTAAATAAAAGGAATGCAAATTCCGGACATGTCCTTAAGTATTCTCTCCCAGTCAACCTCGGTCTTAGTGAATAATTCTGTATGTCTGTTTTTATGTATACTATACATTAACATTGCCCGTTGTGAACCAATTTTTACAACTGACTTTTTTTTAAAGGTTACACTTTAGGGTATTATTTTATTCTTTCTCAAAATTCCACAGAGATTGTAATATTCCTCAGTCCCCAAGAAGAGCAAAATAAAAAACTCTTTTAATAAAAAGTACTTAAAAGCTGACTTAAAGAACTAATAAGAATAAAATAGTTTTACATTCTGAAGTAGATGCTCTAATTCTCTATCAAAGTTAGCACCAAAGAGCAATGGCAGAAAAATAGTTGACAATAATTATAGCGTCTAGAAATAAGTTATATATAAAATGAGTTTTACTATATTTCTATGATTTTTCAAATAAAAATGTATTTTAATTAAAGCCACAGAAAAAAAACAAACATATTTGGGAATATCAAATGACTTAAAATCATTTTAATCTATTCAAATGTTGCCATTTAGTATTTTCATACTATTTTCGTATATACTTTGTAAGACTACCAACACAACACACAAAATATTTTTATATTAAGTTATTATTATTAATAACTGTACTATCAGTAATAATAAAAATAAAAGTGATATGGCAGAGAATAAGTCTCTTACAAAGAATTTCCTACAATAATGCATTATCTCAATCATAGTACTATGTAACAATTCCATTTAATGTTATGCCAACACTAGTTAAAATAAAATGTCACTGTTTTTTTTTACTGGCTTTACGGCTCTGGGTTCTAGCCCTTCTGAGAATGTCACTATGACACAAAAGCCCTAGAGCCATGCCAGAAATATACATTTATAGTATGCAAATATATAATAGAGATACAATAATCTAAAACCTCTCAATTATGTATTATGTATTAAGCTAACATCAAACAACCACAGGAAGCATGACTTTTTCCAAGTGACATAGGACATAACCTAAAAAGGTTCAAATGTAAATATCTTTTTTTTGACGCCTTCCCAGTACGAAATTCTTTGACAGATTTATTAAGGGACTGACGCTTAACATTTTAAGATATTTTTGGTATATAGACGCTACCATTTCTTCTGAACTAATTTTATGTATGAAAGTCTGCCATTGCTCTTTTGAATGTGAAATTATTTTTATTGTTTTAAGATCTTTGAAGTATAATTTTTATAATAATCTCTTTTATTTCATTAAGCATTTAAAAAATTAAGGCATGCGAGTGTCTATTAAGCACCTTAAGACACTTGTGTTAGAGACTTTTTTACATGTGGTAGAGCCATGCTGCAGCTATATTAGTAGTATAGTTGTAGCATGAATGGGTCAGCTCGACTGGGGTTGGACCATGCTCTCACAGAATACCAGCGTAAAATAGCAGCTTAACACTGTTGTGTTTCGTATGGTGAGTGTGGAGAACCGGAGACCCTTTTTACTGGAAATGAGGCATTCCATCTTAGTCCTCACGGGTGACAATGCAGCTGCATTTTGATTCGCAAACGAAGATAGATGTAGATGTCTATGGGCCACTGCAACCACGTACCATCAGGTGGACTGTGTGCTCGTTTGTCACCCTATCCTGTATAAAAAGAAGACTCCCACTCTTCCATAGCCATACAAAACTTTCTCGAAACAAGATTACAACATATTATACAAAAAAAAAGTATATAAAATAAGTATATAAAATATATAGATAAATAAATTTTTATATTCATAGGTATTATATTAAATGGGGATACCCTAGTTTCTTAGTGACATACTATCATATATTATCATTATTACAGCCCATCCACAAGTCCATTGCTGAACATAGGCCTCAACTAATAATGTCACAAAATGTGTTCCTGAGCATGGATAGCATAGCATAATTTTAGCTCATAGTTTAAGAAAGAAGAAATGATAAAAGAACCTCATACATATCACAAATATGTATGCCCTTTTCAAATTTTAAATTTTCATAGCTGTTGTCTATTGCTTTAATCTTTCATATCAGCCATTATGAAATCCACTGCTTAGCAAGGTGGATTAGCAATTTTTTATAGAATAAGGGTGACAAATGAGCTCACAGTTCACCTGATGATGGTGAACTGTGAGCTCATTTGTCAACATTTCATCAACATTTATCCTCGATTAAGAGTCAATATGCAGATGTACTGCCACCCCTGAGGACTAAGAAGAAATGCCTTGTTTCCAGTAATAAGGTTCTCCAGTTCTATACACTCACCATACAAAACACAACAACATTAAGCTGCTATTTTACGCTGGTATTCTGTGAGAGTGGTTCTTCCCCAGTCAAGCCGACCCATTCATGCTACACCATAATAGCTGCAGCATGGCTCTACCACATTAACAATTGGAATATTGGACACATTTGATACTATTTATTTCCTTTAATATTTTACATCAGATATATGTATAAACAAGATGGATGACTTCACTGTCCTCCTCTCCCACTTTCCTTTTCTATTTGGTTACTAACGGGTAGTTAATCAAAACTTCTCCTAACTCCGAACTTGTGGTGGGATGTAATGCTAATGAAGATAATAATGATGCCATATATTTCTCCAAATACAAAACATACATACTTATGTATAATAATAATATAATAATAATAATAATTTATGCACGCTTGACAAAAGTGCTTAACAGCCTTTTGTCGAGTGTTAATAAAACACACGCATATAACGGTTGGATCATGCCTGTTCTCATGTATACCTTCGGCATACTCAGGTGGACTCAGACTAAACTGAACGCTCTGGATGGAAAAGTCCACACTATTATGATGTCCCACAGGATGCATCATCCGAGATCGTCGGTAATGAGCCTGTACTTGCTGTGGAAACATGGTGGGCACGGTTTTTTAAGCGCGCTTACCATGTATAATCTCGAAGTGTACAGCCTCCGTAATTACTTTCTGAAGAGAGCGGATGATCCATTCTATAGGGACGTTATTTTTTGTGATAAAGGACTTACCCCTCTATCCTTGGCCAACGAGCAATGGCAAGACCAGGCCATACCGAGCATTACCGACTGGGAGACCGTATGGAAGGAGAAGGAGCTCCACAGGAGGTTCTACAAGGCTCTACATGAGCCTTTCGTAGACACAGTTGCCTCCCTCCACTGGCTACGTTTTGGTGACCTCTTCGGGGAAACCGAGGGTTTTGTCAGTGCAAAACAGGACCAGGTTATTAAGACCAACAACTATCGGAGATACATCCTAAGGGATGGCACTGTCGACATTTGTCGAGCTTGTCGTCAAACATATTACAGTAAAATATTATGATGAATACAAAGTCAAAATTTCTTTCGACAGGAACAAAGTCAAATTTCAAAGGACTTACCAAGGGCCTTTTTTACTAGTACGATGGGCTCCTCCAGCCCACGTTCCTCGGTTATGTTGCATAATTCTCCTGTTCGGATCTCTAGTATATCCAATATACGTCCTACCTTTATATTTTGGGTTAATACAATATAATAAATAAACACCAAAGAAATCTTCCACAGTTTCAGGCTCAGACATTTTTTTAGCAAAATATGTAAAAAATATTATTCCATCGATTAAATTACAGAGTACTTTTATATTTATATACCTGTTTACATTATGTATGTCGCATTGCATTACGAACATGTAATATTTTTAAAATAATTTAAAAATTTACATTTGTACATAACTGTTATTTTTAATTCTTAATTACATAAAGGCAAAGGGAATATATGCCCATACAGCTTAGTCTGATGTATATTTTAATCACAGAACACATGTACCCTGACGGGGTTTTAATCAAATTCAAACTCCTTTTATTGTAACAATAGAGTTTATGGTACACTTTGTCAAGAAAGTCTTGAAAATAATATTTTTGAAACTAGTGCTTTTGCTTGTACTGGCACTGGCAACAATAAATTATTGTCAAACTGAGTAGTTTGCTCCCTAATACCACATTACGTATCTATTTATCTATAACCTCAGCTGTCATATCGTAGCTTTGTAGTTGATGTGGTCTAAGATTTTTTGTTATATTTCGAGTTTTTCTTATCGTATGACCCCTTAGAGTCTTTAGAGATCAGAAATGAAACGCAGTGTTTATAAGAGCGGTTCCAGACAAGTCATATTTAAAGAGCCGAATTTAAAGCGGGAAAGGTTTTTTTTCCGATTTAGACGATGTTTAGGGTCGAACAGCATAGATAACTGGTACGTACATGTATTTTAATGTTAAATACAATAAAAAAATGTAATCTCATGTTTATAATTTGGTTTTAAGTGTAATTTATCAGTTTTATATCATTGTTTACAAATAGTTAAGGTTATGAAATTTATCTAAGAATTATACTACACATGCAATAGTTTTGATCCTTTTGTATTATTTATTTAGATATGAATAAGGTATTTATTATTTACATGCTTATATTGGTTTCAGGTGTTTTCGAAAGCACAATTCAACGCATAATGTATGAATAATGGAGGTAAATTCGTCACGTCCGGAAAACACAGACAAGGCCGGCCTAAGAAACAGATCGATTATTTCGATCTATGTGCCATTCGTCATAAAGTTAATTTTTTCTACACCGTGGAGAAAGAAGTGCCTACACTAAGAAAACTATTGGCAGTGGTGAAGGAAGAATTAAATTTTGACGGCAGCCATAAATTTTAAGGCAAATTTAAATTTCTATTGGCTTTAAATTTAAGAAATGCCAAACAAACTTACTGGCTCTCATAAAAACCAGTTAACCAGAGTAACTGAAAATCAACTTTAAATTAAGTTTTTTTTTTGCCCCAGGCAGAGTTGCTCAATTAGCACGTAATTCAGCGACGTCCCCACTTATTACCTACCTACCCATTCCGCGAAATTAAAAACGCACCCTCGTAGTTCATTTCGGCTATCACCTTAAAGGCTAGAAGCTACAAAAAGAATATGTTGTACGTGATCTAGGGATTCTCCACTATTCTAAGTTATTGTTCAATACCCATGCTGAAAATATCATAGCTAGGGCATCCAAGGCGTTAGGTTTTGTCATGCGTACTGCAAAGGAGTTTAATAACATCAAAACGATTAAAATTGTAATTGTAATTAAAATAGTACCTAAATTTTTATTTGTTCCCTCGTTTAATACTGTTATTCTTTTATCATCAAAATGATTGTATACATGTATGTTGTATGTGTATGTATATATGTGTGTGTATGTATATATATATATATATATATGTGTGTGTGTATATATGTATGTATATGTGTATGTATGTGTGTATGTGTGTGTGTATGTATCTGTATGTATGTATATGTGTATGTATGTGTATGTATATATATATATATATTCATATGTGTGTTTGCAAGTTTAATTATGTACGTCTTTTGTACGTGTATATATGTGTATGAGTATATGTATGTACATCATGAAAGTAATATTAATATTTCAGTTAATTTGTTAATGCTTATAATTTTATTTTTTTATTTTATTTTATTTATTAAGATATACAAACAAATGTACAAAGGTATTTATAAAAGTATTATCAGAAAAGAGTATAATATATGTACATTCAACACCGTATACCACATATTAGTATAAACAATAAGTAATAAGTAACGAGTTGAAGAGAAAAAATTACTATCACAAAAAATATATAAGTATTAAACAGTATAAGAGACGTTTGCACAAATAAAATTTTAAATTTGTAATACCTGTAATTTATTCTTAATATATTTTTTAAAGCACATATTTGAGGCAGTAAAAATATCAATATCGCTAAAGTAATCATTATATGATTGCACTATGCGTCTTAATGGGGAACGAAGACCAGCGTTAGTACGACAGATTTTTGTCATAAATAGTTTATGTGAGTATTTCTCACGAATACGTTGTGAACCACTTGGAACGCGATAGAATATTTGATTAGTGAGTTGAATACAATCGATATCATTATGACATAGTTTATACAGATATAAATTATTTATAAGTATCCTTCTTTTGTAAAGAGGTAGGAGCGAAAATTTGTCTAATAAATTAATATAACTTGAATACGATCTGTGATAGTATCTATAGTTAACGGTTTTTGAGAATTTACGTTGGATACGCTCTAACTGAAGATTGTATTTCTCATAGAATGGGTTCCAAATGATAGAGGCGTACTCCAATATCGGTCTGATCAGAGAATTAAACAAGTAGATATATGAATTGGGTCGAACGAATTCACTACAAGAGCGAATAATAAAACCAAATATACAAAATGCTTTGTTGGTAATATAGTTAATGTGATCGTTAAAATCAAGTTTTGCGTCTAGTATAACTCCTAGATCTTTAATTAGATCCACCTTACATAACTCTGTATTATTAATAGTATATGTATTATTTATAAGATTACGCTTCTTTGTAAATGTTATTGATTTACATTTATCAACATTAAGCTGTAGTTTATTTTTAGTACAGTACAAAGATAAGCGATAAAGATCACTTTGTAACTTAAAGTTGTCATCAGCGCTTAAGATTGGCAGGTATACCTTTAGGTCGTCAGCGTAAAGTAGGAAATGGCTGTGATGAAAGCAATTGTTGATGTCATTGATAAATAAGATAAACAGCAAGGGACCGAGAATAGAGCCTTGTGGTACACCTGATGTGACAGTAACTAAGTTAGATGAATGGCCGTTGACGACAACTCTCTGAGTTCTTTTTGTAATGTAAGAATGAAACCATCTGAGCAAATCACCACGAATCCCATTAAAAGCAATTTTCTTGAGTAATATATAGTGATCTACTTTATCGAAGGCCTTACGGAAGTCAGTATACACAGAATCGACCTGTATTCCCTTATCCATATGTTCAAATAAGTATGTAGTATAAACGAGGAGATTACTTACTGTGGATCGTTTTTTAACAAATCCGTGTTGTTCGGGTATGATTATATTGTGAAGGACAGGATAAATAACATTATGTACTAATCTTTCAAACACCTTTGACAATACGGATAGTAATGAGATTGGCCGATAATTCTCTACGTCGTTCTTGGATCCCTCTTTATGAATAGGAGCGATATTCGCTGTTTTCCAAATAGCAGGAAAGACACCATCTTGAATGCACTTATTGTATAGAATCGTCAGAGGAACACAGATTGTGTCCGCTGTATATTTAAGGAAGAAAGGAGGAATACCATCCGGTCCAGATCCCTTGCAAACATCTAAATTTTCAAGTTCTTTTTTTATCATATCAACAGTGAAATTTATAGTAGAAATAAAGCCATTTAGACTAGAATTGTTTGGTTCTGTTAAAAAATTACTATCAGACGTAAACTTCTCTGAATCTAAGTTAGATGGTTCAAATACGGATTTAAAGAAGCTTGAAAACAGATTACATGCTTCGTCTGGTAAGTTAGTTGCTTCCTGTTTGTATTTGATATTATCTGGAATACTATTGCTATCTCTACGATTATGAATGTATTGCCAAAATTTCTTAACATCTTTTCGTAGGCCATCTTCTATGGTATTCAAGTACTTGCGAAAACAAAGGGCACATTCAGCTTTGAATCTGGAACGATAAATGGAAAAAGATTCGTAGTCGGAATACGACTTATACTTTTTCCATTTTATCCAAGCTCTATTTTTGTTTTTGTATATATGTATTAGTGGTCTTGAAAACCAGATGGGAAAGCCTGAGGGTTTAAATGGTCGAAGTGGAACATGGTTTTTAATAACTAAATAAATCTGTTCATAAAATGTATTTACGGACGATTCAGATTGTTTATTAGAAAATAAGGAAACCCAGTCAATTTTCTTAATACTATTATTAATTTCATCATATTTGGCTTCAAAAAAAGCGTATTTCAAAACAGGTCCGCGCGGCATAGCCCGAGACAAGGAAGATAGATAAATACTAGTGTAAAAAGGCGGATGAAAAGGATCTAAGGGGACTAATTCCAGTGAGGGTACTAAACATAAATTATTATTATTATTGTTATTAATAAATAAATCAAGTAAGTTTCCTTGGTGATTTCTTAAATAATTATTTTGGAAGCCGCCAATTATATTATTAGTGCTTACCGAATTTGTTTTGTGGATTTACAGTGTTATGTTTGGTTATGTACTTTGTGGATAACTATTATTGGCTTTTTCGTGTTTAATAATTTAAGTAAAATGTTTAAGTATTAATGAGCTGTTGTTATCGTGAATAAAATGAAAAAAAAAAATTTTGTACTGTATTTACGTCCACAGAACACTTGATTATGTTTCGCAGATCTGGAATTCGATATACATATAACACATACATTTCGCGGATTGAAAGCATCCAACGTAAGGGCATACGATATGTTTGATATCGTACCCATACAAACTACCGATTAGAAGAAATCTATCCTTATGCAAGCAGCATCGTTTGTTACCTCTGATAAAGCGCCGTGACTTTGCTAACATTGTATTATTATTAAAAACCTGTTCTGGCGGTGTTGACGAATATCACTGAGAACGCCTACGGTGAACCTTAGCGAAACTTAGAACGAATGCATTGCAGGCAAAAATCTACACCTGCATCAAGAGTTGA